GTGATTTTTAAAAACAGGAAATTCAATTTTAATATAGTTCTTATATATTCTTTTTTTTTACTTTCCAAAAATAAAAGGAATTTAATGGTAATAGACTCTTATGTGACATACAACATATATTATTTGCGCTTAAGTGGACTTTTGGTATGCAATCCCGCCACTTTAACTTGATCTATGTGGTATAATAAAATTTTTTAGGGATAAAAAATTGCTTTTTTGAAATGCTACAATGTCCATGTTTAATACTAGTGTTGATTTTTAAAAGAAACTACAGGAAATTCTGAAATTTTTGGTAACTTATAGACCTACTATATCTTTATAAGATTGCATTTTTTTGATTTGTGTTGATTAGTTGGTCCGAGACGTCTTCTCAACAAATATATATGTATATTTATATATATACATAGTTTCGTTTTGTTGAAGTACGTTAAAAAGTGATAGTAATCCTTGAAGCATTCAAGCACTACATTCCCTAGTATCTAGATACGCTTAAGGTAAATACTCGAGCACAAGCCATCTGGGTAATAAAATGTTTGCATCTTCGAAATGTCCGAATAGTATTTGAATTTAAATACATTACATATTGAACTGAATTTCATATTAAGAGTAGTCTCTCCAAAACTGTACAGGACATTATCACCTATAGATTTATAGGTATAAACAATATAAAATCATATATATATATATATATATATATGCATATAGTACTCCTTGTACAAATCCCATACGTGATAAAAAGATTCTAAATTTTTATTGTGATGAAGTAAAAAGCACACTACATAGTGCTTGTTCATTTTTAAGTATCTAGATATGCTTAAAGCATAAGGATTCTAGAAGATAATGGTCTGATCTTCGAAAGGACCGAGTCTCTAGCATACATACATTAAATATTGAACGCTATGTTATATTGAGAGTAGTTTTTTTAATATTGTACAGCATATTATCACCTATAGATATCACCTATAGATTTATATATGCAATAAAAAAGTATATGTATACTACTCCTTGTACAAATCCCATACGTGATAAAAAGATCCCAAAATTTTTATTGTGATAATAAAAAAAATGAAAAAATAAAATCACTTTTAATTCTTTTAATAAAATATCAGCTTGTGCAGCTGTTTCCTTTATTAAACGATAATTTAACTTAAGAAATGCACAAGTATTAAATTTTTATTGTCCAGAAGCGGCAATAATGTATATCGTGCAACGCAAGAACCAAGCAATATAACTGCTGCTGCAGTCATATTGACTTGAAGCCAACGGATGAAGCCTGGCAGATGATATTGAAATCTTGATGATTATATACGCGTACTCTGAGTTCGACACACATTTCGTGTCTTTCTATTTGCTTTTCTGTGGTTCCAAAGCAATTTATCTGTTCGATATACAACACAAAAAGTGTAGCAACGGAAGCAGTCAAAACAAAAACCATCAGCAGCAGCAACATCAGCAACAACAACAATGAGAATGAGTCCAAAGGACAGATGTTTGATGTACTTTTTGGTTAAATTTTACAGAAAATATTTTTTTATCCTTTCTTGGAATGATTTTGATGCTGTTGTTGCTGCTGCTACCTCTGCTGCTGCCTCTGCTCTTACTACTTAGTGTTGTTATTGTTGTTGATGATATTTAAGCTGCTTTGAAAGTATCTTCAATAAAAGGTGCAGAAATATTTTTATGTGAGGTTGAGAAAGGCAAAAGGTTTTAAATTTCTGAATGTATCTTAAGAAAAGAAATTTCAAGTTGAAATAAAACAAAAAAAAAAAAATCGAAACGCAGGTGATATTAAGTAGTTGATAAGAGTAATTGTTATACCCATCTTTGATGTGTTATAAATGAAAAAAATTTATATAAACAAAAAGAATTTTGAATAAAAATAGAATATATTTTTATTTAAGAAATAAATACACAATTCATCGCATATGTTCTGAATTAAAGCAACGTTATTGAAGAGATAAAAATTTATCTTATAGTATTATTGATTGCAGAATGTGGAGTCAATATAGATCTACTCTAGAATAGAACATCTTCAGAGTAAAGTCGTTTTTCTTTTTTAGGATTTTAACTTTTATTTTGTACATTGTATTTTATATATCTTTATACGTATTTCGGTATACGTATTCGCTTCTGCCTTCATCAGGAGAATTCCTAATCTTTAGAGTAATCTAGCATTCTTATATATGGTAGTATTAGTAGACATTTATATTTTTCATTAATACATACATCAAATTCCACTTTATTTGTCAAGTCATAAAAAACAGCTGTTAATTTTAGGATAGTTATTCTAGTCAGATAAAATTTCTAGAGTGTTGTAAATTAATCGTAAGTGGTATACATTTCGCTCGAGATTTCACCAATTGAAAATGAAAATAACACTAAAAGTGAATCTCGATTGAAATTACTTTAACAGTACGTCCCAGCTCGTATTTATTTATTTATTCATTTGAACAAATTAAACAAACTCTGGTTTTCAAGCCAAGTGCTCAAATTTAATATAAAGACTAACAAATAAATTTAAATATAATTTTAAAAATATTTTCAAAGACCTGAAATCCTTTGCATAACTCTATTAAATATAGTCCAGTGGTGACAAATCGGATAGTCATGGCAAAATTACACGTCCTGGAAACTAGTCAAAGTATTCAACGGCGAGAAAATACCGTTTTGTTAAAACATTATATAGTCCAGATCCTTCTTTTCAATATTAAGCCGAAAAATGTTAAATATATTTATAACTATAGCGATAGAAATTGACGTTTTATGGTCATAATATGGTCATAAACCATTGGACGCAATGGTTTTCCAACAGCTAATTGTAGATTTTTTGTGTCAGATGCGATAACTTTCGTTTTTTACATATTGATCGAGACATAAATTAGCTTTATTATTGAAAAAAATTGGATACCAAAGACATCATTCAAACGTTGTTGCTTGAGGACCTAGTTAGAGTATGCTCAATGTATGGCGTGAGTATCAAGTTTCAATTCTTCTGTTAGCAGAATTTTATAAGAATGAAGATAAAAATCTAAATACAGAATAGACTGTAAATTCGACTGAAATGCAGTCCGCTTTATTTAATGGATGGAGTTGAATTCTAACACTCACAACAATATTTTCTGTCGATCTTCTTTTCGATTATATGTCAGCCTTAGCTTATCTGTTACAGAACTAAAATCTTCGTATTTCTTCTTAGTTTTGCTTATATTATACTTGAATCTGCAATTATGTCGAACGTTATGTATGATATTTTTAATAATAAATTAGTAAGTTTTACGTTAAGTTTTTACAATATTATTACGTTCAGTGCTTGTCAAACGGTTAGTATTGTAAAATGGTAAACATAAGGATAAACATATAACGATGACAGTTGTGTTTAAAATAATATGTCCATGAAATAATATTTCTGTATCAGGATCACAAATTAGATAACATGTTAAACATGTTAAAGTAACCAATACAATAATATTACTTAATTATAAGTAAGCAAAATAGTTTAAATCGGCTAGTTGTAGACTTGACTGCTTTAGAAGCGGGATATTGGTTCCAAACCAAATAGGTAAAATTAAGCCCAAAGTAATTACGATATTTATACGTAGTTTAGAATTGTTTTAGTTGGGCATTTAGATGCATAATTGATCTTTTAGATCGCGGTGCATTCATAGCCTATTATTCAATAATAATAAATGGTTTAAATGAAATCCAAAAGTTTGTTGAAATCACTAACTTTAATTAAATAGATGTTTCGAAACTATATTCCATATTATCTATATGATCCAAAAGTTTTTGTACATAAATACTTTCACAAGAGACTTCTCTATAAGAGAGGTATCAAACAATAATGAATTTCAACAACAAACATTTTTATTTTATTTCGAATTTAATTTTTGGAATTTAATATTGCCAAATACATATCATCAGTGGTCTCGAAATTATTTTTTAAATTAAAATTTTCGTAAATATAACTGTTCATAAAAATTCTAGAAATAATGGAATAATTGATTTATGAAACATTTTCATTTAAATTAAATAAAAATTTTGGCAATGCATAGCTCGTTCTTTGTATATAAAATTAAATTTATTCAATTTAATTAAATTAATAATTGTATATTTTAAACAAATATTAATATTAAATTATAAAATTTCGCATTTAATTTAATTTTAATTTTATGTCTACTCATTTATTTGCATTTTTACTTAACATTATTTATATTAATAAATAATATGAAATAATTGTTATAAAAATACAAAAACTGTGATATGAAAATATATCAACTTATTTGCATATAAAATTAAAATTTTCTGAATAAAGTAAATTTCCATGTTCGATAGAAAAATTAAATAAAGCACATCAATCGCCTGTCAATTGCCTAAGGAAATGAAAGTTTCGATGAGATTAACCATGAATGACAACCTTTTTAAATAAAAAAGATATATATATATACAAATAGGTTTACCCAAGAGCAAGAACCAATTTAAGTTGACAAGTATTTATTTGTGCTAAAATTGCCAATTTAAATGCAAACAAATAAAAACTACAAAATGACAATCACATCCTGAAAGTTCAGTGAGTGATGTGATTTATATTCATCATCAAGCAAAAGGTGACAATACATACGAGTGTGTACTATATATAAAGAAATAAATTTATAAAATAATATTTTATTATATGTTTTTTATATTATATTTATTTTGTTAAAAAATTTTATATACAAAGTATGCATTTTTTCACTAACAACTGCAGGAACTTGTACTGAAATATCACTGATGACTCAAATGAATGAAGTTATATTTCATGATGGAATTTTATTAAATTTATAATGAATAATAAATAATTTTCTTATTTAAATATTTTGCATTTTATTTTATAGAAAAAGAATGTCGCTCCTTTACATTTCTTTTGCAGAAAAACTGCATAAGACGCAAGCGTTCTCCTTTCAAAAGATAAAAGAAATATTTAAATGAGAAAATATACGAAAAAAAATATTCAGAAACAATTTTTATTGTGAATTGCTGTATAATATTGTAGTAAATTATTTAAATAAATTAATATTAAACATAAAATATTTCAAGCCAATTAAGATAGTTTCATTAACTTAATATCAGGATAAAATGCATTCAATGGAGTGATGTAGCAAGGATTGCTTCAAGTATTCAAGGATTGCTTAAAATATTTTTTTTCGTAACGTCTTTTTGCAATGTATTATATATAGATTATATTATTAAAGAAGGGAATCTATCCACTTAACCCCCCTTACCATGCCTACACTGCTAGGTGATTAAATCGATATACGTCTCCTTCAATATTTGTTTTGGATATGCTTAAGTTTTATGTTGAAATAATTTCAATGAAGTAATTTTTCTAATACCATTCATTCATTGATTGATCCTAAGAGAAAGTGAGTTTATGAGACAATTTTCTCGGAAACGATCCCCCAAACCCCTTCCACTCTGCTCACACAAGTGGGTGATTTAATCGACATACATCTCCTGCGACAGAAGTTTTGGATATGCTTAAGTTTTATATTGAAGTAATTGCATTGATGCAGTTTTTTAACACCATTTATTCATTGATTGATCCTAAGATAAAGTGAGTTTGTGAGACAATTTTCTCGCAACCTGCAAATTCTTAGAAACCTGATGATTTTTCTAAGTGGTTTTGAGATTATTTGAGATAATAGTCGTTTGATTTACTGTTAAGTGTTCAAAAAAAATAAACTAAATTGACAACAGTAAAGTTAATAGATGCCCTATTTGTAAAAAAAAATTATCCTTATATAAAGTTGTCCACTTTGTAGTTCTATAAGTAAAAATTATGGCTCAGGAAGCAAAAATAATTTATATAAAATAGTCAAGAGTCCAATAAAAATTTTATTTCAGTATATTATTTTAATCTTGTACCATTATATGCAAAAATACTATTAATCAAATGATTATTCACCTGACGACTCACAGTTCTAGACACTTTTGAGATAGTTTTCAATTACTTATTGGCACTTAGCTGGCAAAAACTCTGCTACACTTAAAGAATGTTCTTTCCCAAACCGTTGAGAGTTCCCTTTACATGAGATTCTTTATATAACCCCCCAAAAAATTACAGTGCTGTGAATCATTTGGCGACTATATTAAGAATACGTAAAATTTCATATCTTAAAAAATTTTTCACTTAATAAAACAAACGGGGTTGTACTATGTGGCTTGCAGCACTACGCTGTTTAAACTATCCATATCTCACGTCTATAACATAAATTTTAGGTCATGAGGATTGATAAACATGTGGTTGTAGCAATCAGAATTGACAGTTTTGGCACATCTTTTTGTTTTTGATCTGCTAAAGATTATGAGTCAATCTAACACCAGACCAACAAAATAAATACCACTCCATATATCCTTACAAATGACTTTTCTCCCAGTGGAGTTTGCTAACAAACCGTATATTAACTAAACTAATTCCATAAATTTAATCCATAATTCTATTAATGCTAACTTTCAAAAAACTCTCAGTATAGTCAACAATTGTAATAATTATTCCAAATTATTTTTCTTTGAAGGACATAAAAATCCATTACTTATTCCATTAAAACTATGCTCATAATCCATTTCAATATTATTTTAAGTAGAAGTTCATATTAACATAACACATTTCCTTAATTGTTGACATTAATATTTAATTATTTCTTTCTTTGCAGCTCAACACTGAATCCTTGGCAGATCACAAACGCCGTCATTGTCACTTCCAACGCCAAGAAATACATGAACTTCAATTGGCGCAACGTAGCATGCGGCGCAAGCTGAACGAACTGAAATACCACCGCATTGACGAACGCGTACGCAGCATCGAAATAGAGCAACATCGTCTTGCGGATGCCAATTTCAATTTGAGTCGCCAAATTGCCACGTTGGACAAATTGCATTTGTCGATGCTGGAACTGCTGGAGGACGTAGAAGGTCTACAAACTAAAATTGACAAGAATGTGCCCGAGCTACGGCATGAAATATCCAAATTAGAATTTACAAATGCACAACTAACATCCGAACAGAATATGCTGCGTGAGGAAAGCAAAAATATGGCACGTTCCATACAAGCCATGGCAATGAGTGTAAGCACTTTACAGGATGAACGTGACGGCGTCCGGAAAATGGAAACAACTGTAACCAAACTCCAAGCACAAGTCGATCGTTCACAAAGTGTCCTACAGGATGTGCAACGAGCATTGACACATCACAGAAGAGCTGACAATAAGGTAAGCAAGATTGTGTCAAATAAAATGAAAGTTAATTAATTTAATTAGCAAAATGTTGACCTAATTTCATTTAAACTTTGATTCACTTTGTTATAACCAACAATTCTCACACAACTTAGGGAGAATATTGTTAGCACATAAGTTGCACTAATGCATTAGAAAACTTATTTTGATTACACAAAATGTTATATAACCGAGAGATACTATGCTCCAGCTGATGAAAACCAAACAAATTAAAAGATTTTATAAAAAAATTACATTAAAATATTTCACTGACAATAAACAATGACAACTATTTGTATTTTATAATTATCCAACAAAATCAAGACGCTTCATTTCCACAAAAATGCTATTTATAAGCACTTTTGTTATTGTGAAATGCTTGATTTTTTAACAAAATATATCTCTATAGTTCAAAAAACTAGTTCTAGGGATAGATAGCCGTAAAATAGTTCAAATAATTTCCAGAAATTCTGTGCATACAGTTATGACCTGTATATAAACTAAAAAACCCATTACAATTAATACAAGGGCTAAATATCTTGGAATGCAACTTTACTATACAACTATAATAAAGAGAAAAAATTAAAAAACAAAAAACAACAAAAAGATATTAATTGTTTCAAATAACAATTAATTTTCAAAAAAATTGCTTATTTACTAAACAATACTCATACCAATTCGAAGTTATGGCACTAAAATATAGACTAGTTAAAAATGCTTCGCACTATCTTGAATGCCGATTAATATGTGTATGTTATATAGAGACATCCATTGAGAGCTTAACATCGACACAGTAACCGAAGTAATTCAAATATGTAGCATAAGCCATAAATATCACTTAATAAGTGACTCATACCCACACTCTAACTTAGCCCCGATAGAAATTCTGGATAAAGATATCACACAGCTAAGAAGATTGACGCACAACAGACTTAAAGAGCTAACAAGTATACTTTTTTTTCATAAAGCCTAACAAAGAAGGGTGCATGTACTCCTTTCATTGGTCCAGAGCCCTTCTGCAGGGTAACAAATAGCTTAAGAAATAGCTTATTATGTAAACGGGAGAAACAACATCTACTTGAACACTGGAGAGCTCAAACAGGCATGCGACAGTCAAAAAGATTCATTGATCCTGATCACATCAAAGTTGATGCTATCCTTGACCTTAGCAGAAACGATATTAAAATCTATACTGAACTTCTTACAGGACACTGTAGACTTAATTACCACATGAAGATTATAGGTGTGGTAGAAAGTGACTCCTGTCGACTCTGTCATGAGGAGAAGGAAACATCAGAACATGTTTTATGCAACTGCCCAGCGGTGGCAAGACGTAGACTCGATTACCTATAATGCCTAACTTTACCAATTGGTTTTTTTTATTCAATATGTGTAATATGTGTACTGATATCTATATATAGTATATATATAGTTCAAATAGTTCACATATATAGTTAAAATTTATTAATATAAATGCCAAATAAAGCGACTTCATAATTTAATAAGAGAAAAATATATTTTTGGCCAAGCAGTCTGATTTTTCAATTCACAAAAAAATTGAATGCTTTAAGTTATATTCCTTGATTCGAAATCAAGAATTTTAATTAATATGGAAGATATATTTTAATTATAAACCAACATAGCTCAATAAATGCTATGCTATAATAATTTAAATTAATATTTTTATGTACGTAACATGAGTAGGGATCATTAAAATCTTATTTAATCTGAATATCGCTTAATATTTTTGTACTGAATATATAAAATATCGGACATAATATAAGTAGGGTCTACTAAAATCTTCTTTAATTTCAATAGAACTCAAATAGTTTATTACTTTTTAAACTGAATATATAACTAATACATATATTTTATACATCTTGAAGATATATATAAACTACATTAAATTCTTTCTTTGTATTTGAAAATAATAAAACTTGAGTACCAGTCACTGAACACTATTTTTACTGATTACATTTTTGAACTATGTCTTTTATAAATCTGAAGGATAGATAAGTTGCTCAACATCGTTTCATTTGCATTTTGAAATAATAATATTTGAATACTGACCACAGAAAGTATATGACATATTTCATTGTATCTAGAAATAGTAATATTTTATTGCCAATACCAGATAATAAGTTATAGTTTTACATATTTAAACTGATTGAACTGCTGTGACAAATATAAGTATTTCTAACTGCTTCCAATATATTTTCTGATATATCTAATAACTGATATAAAAATCTTTTATTATTTTGTTGAGAATATTTGTAATAATTAATAATTAATATTTTGATTGAAAATTAATTAATAGCTCAGTGATTATTAAAAGCTTCCATTTGATAATATCTTAATTTTATGTATATTTTTTTTTCTTATATTTTTAGCTTCAACAATATGGAATTGATTTCAATGATGAACTAGAAAACAACACTAATAGTGTTAATAATACCAACAATACGAATTTATCTCAAAATGCTGAAACATTGGTTGAAAAGTTAGAAAAGGTTGAGTTACAATACGAGTCCATCATAAATAAATTACCACAAGATTGCAGTGATGTTGCACAAAGTACTGAAGGTCTTTATTTGATTGCGCCTGCTGGTCAGCATCATCCATTAATGGCCCATTGCACAGCAGATGGCTGGACAACTGTACAACGACGTTATGATGGCAGTGCTGATTTTAATCGTTCGTGGGAAGATTATGCTGCCGGTTTTGGCACACCTGCTGGTGAATATTGGATTGGTAACGAGCAATTGCACCATTTGACCGTGAATAACTGCACCGAATTACGTATAATTATGCAAGATATTTACGACAATGTTTGGCAAGCACAATACAGTAACTTCTATATAGCTTCACGCGCTGATGGCTTCCGCCTGCACATTTCCGGCTATCGTGGCAATGCATCAGATGCTTTAGACTATCAGCAGGGTATGCAATTCTCAGCGATCGATGTAGATCGTGACATCTCACAAACGCACTGTGCTGCTAACTATGAGGGTGGATGGTGGTTCTCTCATTGTCAGCATGCAAATTTGAATGGACGCTACAATCTCGGTTTGACATGGTTCGATGCGTCGCGCAATGAATGGATTGCCGTCAAATCAAGTCAAATGCAAATAAAGCGTCAATCAGCAGCAGTTTGTGCTTATAGAAATGCTAAACGATATGCTGCAACTGCTTCTGATGTGACAAGTGCGACGACAATTATATCTAGCGAAGTACCGACAACCACAACAACAGCAACGTATTCATCCGGTGTACAAGTGTAGAATGCCTTTCAGAGCATTCATACAAATCATCATACCATGGAAAACCCAAACACATTAAAATTATAAAACTATAAACAATTACATACGCGTATCTTTGCTAGAGTTAGAACCACCATAGCCATGCCTGCTGTAGTTTGACGTGCAGACCGTTCATATAATATTGCGTATGTGAGAAGTCAATAGATTTATGCGTTACGATAAGGCGTCATCCATATGGAGATACTAATTACTATAAAATTTTGTAAATATTTTCAATATATAAAGGCAAGTTGTGAACATGCTTTCTATGTAAGTCCAGAGTTACTATTTAATTAAGTTGTATTTATATTAGAATTTCTGATATGTGTGTATTAATAGTGTATACTTAATAATAGTTAATATTGTGTATAGTTATATAATAAATTAAATTTTTTAAGGCTTATATATTAATATAGGTTTTTAATACTACTCGCAAAAATATTCAGAATGAAACTCATGTGGAAGATACCACGACTGTTATTATAGTAGGTTCTGCTTAAAAATTTTTAACAAATACCTATAAGAGGGATATTCCTCTATTAGAAGAACTTCTTACTGAGGCGGTCTTTTCTATTGATTAATATTTTTACCAAATTATCTACCCAAAGACAACCATAATTGGTTCCCATCTTTGGTAAGATTGCAGTTTTTTATTATCAAATAAGACTACGTTATAATTTTGTAGTTTTTATGTGATGGTCATGTTTTTTTAGAGAGAGTATCAAAATTTATAGAGTAGTGGCTCTGAGTTAAGTAGAGCACTGTCACCATAGTAGATATTTTGTGCGATGATTAATATTATGTAGGACAACATATTTTTTACAGAGAACTTTTGAATATCGGAAATAAGACCTTCCAGTCCATCTCTCATCTTCACCAAAACTATAGTTAGAGAGTCACATATAGGACCTCCTGGTTCAACTCTCATTTTGACTGAAATAAAAGCCACACAGCCACAAGTAACGGAACAAAAAGTCTAATTTTTCTCTTTTTATATAGTCTTTTCAAACAGACCTAACTTTTGAAATAATTATAGGCCATAATGAGACCTCTGATAATCTGTCAATAGCATTAATTTCTTCATAGAAACAGTGAACTTTAATTTTATATATATAATTGTAACTGAGAAATAATAATTGTTTCTATGAATCGAATTCGGATCATCTGTTCTATATCCTGTTTCAACTCAGATTAGAATTACGCTGTTTATGGTAATCGCAATCTTTATTTCCGGCTTATTGAAGCTTTTAGAGAATGAGTGGATATTAAAAATACTTAGTTGCACTTATATTCACAGATATAAGTAACCATTCATATGGTAGAAAAAATAGAGTATTACTTCTACTAAATATTATAGTCTATTAAAATAAATGCTTATAATATTTATTTATCTTACTTCTGGGGTAGCTAATCCCTAAGAAATGTTTAATTACTGCACTCAGTATAAGATCAGTAACCTATTCCATTTATTTTATAAATAAAAGATCTATAGGTGTCTGTAAAGCTTGAAATTTTTAAATATTTAGAAATGTAAGTCATAGATTTACACAAAATTACTAAGGAGAATATAAACAAATAATATATTATATCTTATAATGAATATTGACTGTAAAGTGTTAACTCGATTTAAAGTAAAATTTGATCTCATTATTCAAGAAAAACTCTAAAGAAATATGTAAAATTGAGAATGAATGTACTAAAGTCTCTCTCTCTCTCTCTCTGCAGTTTTCGATTGCATTAGTTTTAGAAGAATCTCTTCATTTATACTCAAACTAATACTTAAAAACGTATTGTTAAAACAAAATATTTAATTTAATTAAAATTAAATTATTTGTTATGTTTTACTGTATATGAGCTTGAAATAATATATAACAATTCTTTCAAAATTAATATTGCTATAACAAAAAAAAAAATTAAAATATATATATAACACTATAACAAGCTATATTTGTATTTAAATGAATTTATAAATAAGAAATGAAGACAAATAATAAATGAAATGAAATGTTATTGTTTCATTTAAATTAAGCTGTACTATTTAAAAACTAAATATATTACAATATGTATGAATGTAAAAAGTTAATTATAGCAAAAAATTATAATACAATATATAGTAAAAGAGTTTGCATATTAAAAAAATATTAAATATGTAAATTAGTTGATAAAAAAATTCCTTTGTAAGCTTCGCAGTAATTATCAGTAAATATTATATAGTTATTTATTATATCGTGTAAGTGAATAAATTAATTAATGATATTTATTCTATCAGCAGCTACAACACATTTACTCATATTAAAGCAAACCAAAGAAAAATTAAAATATTAAAACAAAATATATTAAAATTTAAATAAATTTCCTGTAATTAAACCATTTACGAAACCAAATATTAAATAAACCACAATAAGCCAATCGAAATAAATAAATATAAAAATAAAATAAAATAAAAAAACTAATTATGAATTTAAATAAAAATATATATTAAAACATAAAAAAAATAATTATGTATTTTTTAATGTTTGTATTTTCGGTATTAATATATAATAATGTAATAAAAAAACCAATGTAATAAAATGAAAATCGTATGTCCTTTATTGTTTAATAGCTTACATCACATTAATAAGCTACATTTTGTAAATAAGTTTTTATTATAATTATATATTAATAAAATTTTATTTGAGTTATTCGTGCGTAAATATGAAATTTTTATCGGTGTAAAAATGACTTAAATAAATAAATGAAAATGTTTTATTCCATAGAAATAAATAAAAAATTTTTTAAAATAATTTTTTTAATTTTTTTATTATTTTATTCATGGTATATAATCATATTTATTTTATTTTTTTTTTGTAGTTGGAGGTATGGCTGTATGCATTTCATTTCAATTTGATTAAAATACATAAAATTATTTAAAAAATAATATATCTCTATAGAAATAACCGTAGCGGTATGAAAAATAAATCATAATACACTATTATTGGTTATAATTTTAGTTCACTTTACACTAAGTATCTGTATGTCCAAATATCTATATGTATCTGTATGCAGTAAGCTGTTAAAATAATTTCCATGTTGTTTCAAAAAGACTAGGAGATTTCTTTATATGTATATTTATATATAATTGTTGAACTGCAAATCAATAGAGTTAGTAGCAACTGCCACCCTGCCCCCTCCTCTGGACAATCGATTTATATTTGTAGAAACTTGTTAATAAATTTTAGAAATTCTAAATTTAGGGAGGAGAAACGTTATAACTATTATAACGAAGTATATAGAGCTCTCTTTAAAAGCTTTATACATTAATATTATATTAGCCTTTAAAAGCTCTATACATTCATATTGTATTAGTTTTAAGAATTGATTTTAAAAATAAAGTTAGTCTTAAGTAAACTCGTTTTGCGAAGTGACTAAATATAACACTTGTGATCTACATCAGAAAATTGTAATAAGTATTCAACACTCGAATCATACTTAAATCATTAGTTGTATTTTATTTATACGCATTCCGACTCTCTTTTTCGTGTATTTGATTCTACCTGATTCATATATATAGATGACAGCACTTATAATAGTTTATACTCTTCACATATAATACTCATAAACACCGACGCTCGACACAAGAAAGGTGCAATTGATTTATGAATTATTCATGAGTATTACGTTAGAGTCTGCAAAAATTTGTCTCCTATTGTTTACTGTACATATATAATTTCCAACTAACAAAAACCATAGTTTAATGTACATATACTATTCAAGAACACAAACAAAATACTTGCATCCATAATGCTAACAACAACAACGCACACCAAAAGCATAACAGCAACACGCAAAAAGAATAAACAGCAACAGACAAATTTTTTGCTTAGCAAACAACAGCGCTCATCAAAAATTTCTACTAAAGCCAAAACTGATCTAAACAGCAGTCAATCATTTTCGATGAGTATATTTTCGTACTCACCTGAGTATATGCTATGACTCATGAATCATTTACCATTTAGAAATATGTCTTATGACTCTGATTAATTACCACCGGCATATTCATTAACGAAAACACTTATGAATCATTTCTGTGGCGAATGTAAATGCATATAGAAATGTGTGAGAAAAACAGTTATACCTGGTTTTTTCTGAGTGTACTCTGATTGTTAAAATCATGACTGGGTGCAATTATCTGGTCCAAATCTATTTTATTGCGAAACTCATTGATTTAAAAGTAACAGCACGAATATCTTTCTTCCATGAATTCAATTTCTCTTAGTTTAATTAAAGACTGCTAGAATGACCTTCTATAATAGCTTAGACGTTCTAAACTTGAACGTCCTTGGTGTTAGTATTTGTTTTAATATGAAAAGAGAGATATATATCAGTGTCCGAATTATTTAAATTTTAAAGCTACTACAGATATACCAAAAAATTATTTTTTGTGGAGACAACTATGAGTCCGTTATAAGAAGTAATGCCTATTTATATTTGAACTCTATTTAGAAATTGAACTAGGAAGAACAGAGAGTTACATATTCTATTAAAATGTAGTTTAGGCGTTATAAGTTCTTATAAAAACAGGATACAACTCTAGATGGAGAGAGAAAATAATGTACAGTTGACGACAATTGTAAAGACTTAAAACCCTTACAAGTTGCATTCTATGGAAATTGCAATACATTATTATAATTTTTACTTGTTAACATTTTTAGTACTATCCTTTTAAAAGTTGTAAAATATTTTCTTTCATCATAATTGACTAAAAATATTAAAGAATACGAGGGTTGCCTTTTAAGTCTTGCATCTAACAATGAAAACACAGTGAATCAATGAAAATGACTTTATTACTTTATGAAGAATTCTTTATGATGATCAATATATTTTTTTATTCGATTGAACCAATTTTCAAAACGGATTACTTGATTACTGTAACCATTTTAAAGACTATCTATTTTGCACCATTGTGTTACATCTCATAATAAACAAATTTCTATTATGCTATAAGAAGCCGATTCTTATAGAAACTTTATTACTATATTGATAACACTCATAATATTGATAATATTCATAATCATTTTGAAAGTGATGCTTGGATATATGTTGAGGAAGTTTTACTATTTTCATATAAATAGACTTAAGTCAGAAGACTTCAATCAGTTCTAAAACAAATCCTACAATTTCCAATACACCTTATATAATTTTCAAATAACTTGTATACATATAAAGGGTATTTCTTAGAGGTTTAATTTTATAGTTGGCAACACTATTTCTGGTGGACACTATTTTGATAGTTTACGGTTGAAGTACTTTAACAAGTTTTGTTATTTTATTTTCGTAGATTTT